CATTGCCTGCCTCTCCTGCAGCTTCCAGTGGTTTGCTGGCTGTCTTTGGTGTTGCTTGGCTTCTGCCACGTCGCCTTGGTAAGCTGCCTTCAGCCGCACATGGTGCTCTCCCTGTGAATGCATCTGTTTCCAACTTTCCTGTTTTTATAAATGGGATAAGAGGACACCCTACTCCAGCATGACCTCACCTTAACTGATTACAGCTGAGATGAACCTATTTTCAAGTACAGCCACATTATAAAGTACTGAGGATGAGGACATCAACATAAGAATTTGGAGAGGTGGGTGGGGACAATTCATGTCATAACATAAGCTGTTTACTTGTTTGATTACTTATTGTCTGCTACAATGGGAGGTAAGTTTCTTGAGAACAGACGTGTTATCTATCTTGTTCCTGTGTGTCCACTGCCCTGTTTGGCACAAAGTGCTTTTGATAAGCAATCCTCATTAGATAGTGGTGATGGCTGCATGACTTTGAATACACTGAAAATCACTGAATTGTATACTTTAAAGGGGTGAATCTTTGGCATATGAAATATATCTCAAAGACAAACTATTCCTTCATAAATGAATAGAAGCAATGATTATTTATTATATAAATATCTATTCATCCTGGGATTCAATTCCTCTCTCTGCAATTGCTTTCAACTCCCCAGAAGCTTAAAGATGTTAAACTTTTTGAGAATCCAATGAATATTTTTCCCCAGTAAAATGCCAATAGGCACACACCTGTGTGCCTCCACACAGTTGCTTGCTGTACTTCCTATGTAGCTTCAGATAACTCACGGACACCTTGGGTAAAAATGTTTCCATAGGCCCAAATAACAATGCCTACATTAGAGGTTCTCACCAAAGACCCTTTTGGCTCTGAAAATTATGGGATTCCATACACTTGTGCTCTGCAAAGCACAAGGATCCAGGCAGGAAGTGAAATACTTTGCATCAGCTTACAAGGAGCTCAGAGTCTACTTGGAGAGGAAAAAAACATTTGATACAAAACCGAGTGGAGAAGTCCAAGCAGTTCAGAGAAAGGTCTAATGCGGGATCTTGGGTTAAAAGTACCCATGACTAGGCTTTCCCTTGGCACACTGACAAAAGGGCCAGGCATATGCAGAACAAAAGGAAAGAGCACACAAGCTTGCTTTTATAAAGGCTTGAGAATCAGTATAATCAATAAAAAGTGACTTTTGCCACAATACATTTGATAAAAAAATCTCATTGATATTCAAAATAAAAATGATTTTCATTATTCTCCTTTAAAAACCTACTAATGTCATATAGTTTCTTCAAAAAAGAAAAAAAGAGCAGTGTTTTTGGAACAATGTCATTGCTTTCTGCTGTTCCCTGACCCCATGCAGACCCCATCAGCCAAGTTGTGAGGGAGCCAGTTTCTGCATATGGATAGGCTTTCACTCTTCCTCCTTCAACTCACATACCAACTAGAAGTCTCCTAACAAGAGGTTTAATAAATAGGAGGGGGTGGCCCAGTAGGGGAGGGGAGGAAACTGGCAGTTAGAATCTTTATAAATTCAAAGACAACATTCTCAGCTGTAGAACTCTGTGAAACTTTCTGGACTGTGTTGAGGGTTATCTCTTTCCCTCTGAAATGTCTATGCTCAGTACATATCCCACTAAGCACATGTGAGAAATAAAAAACTGAATTAGAAGGCCTTTCTGGAAAATTGGGTAGAAGGAAAATAAATCCAACAGTTGTTTGAAGTTCTACAGTGGGTTATCGCATGGGTTTAGGTTGCCAAGATCATTGGCCCCAGAAGTATGTGCTTATCCCACCAATGTAACCATAAGTTAGGAGTAAAATCTACCACTCAGAATGAAAATGGAATGAGCAGCAAAGGAGGTAAAGAGATGGGAGGAAGAAGGAATGGAGGGAGAAAAAAGGAGGGGGAAAGAAGGCAGGAGATAGAATGTAGCTTGGCTGTTCGGTTAGCTTAAGAGAATAGACTTTAATTTTTTAGGTCCATCAATGTAAATATAGAACCTTTTCCACAGTGTGACTCTGGAATGACTAGGTGAGTGATTGTTACATTGCTAACGTTTATAGTTCAAGTTATCATATATACAACCCAAAAGTCTTTCATTTCAGGCAAACCCAGAAACAATCCCTTGCTAAGAAGTCTTTGTTGAAATAAAAAACTCAAAGTTACCATAGCCAGCAAAGATCATATTTTAGGAAGAGAATTTGTAGTGTTTTGGGGCCACTTGCATCAGCTTAGTAAAATCAATTGTTAAATTTTCAGGAATTCTGCAAGCCAGTTGACATCATACTAATAATAACCTGAAATAGGCCATGAGGAGATCATTTATACCATGGGAAATGCTATAAATCAAGGCCTTCTTTTATTCTTGGAGAACTGGCTGCTAACTATTTGCCAGCACACCATGTTTACACGTGAATATTTACAGTTCTAACTGCAACAAAATAAAGCAAAACAAAAAACCAAATTACCTCTAGTCAATCAATATAGAATAAGCACATATACTTCTAAAGATGAAACTTAGAACTCATCTTAAAGATTGTTATTCAAGCAGTTAGCAAACATTGATTGAGTACCTAGGTTAGTGCTGAAGGCATCCAACATAGATCCCAGTCACTGAGTATTTTATACTTTGGGGAGACAGGATGGATATACATGGAATAATTATGTAAGAGTACAAAGCAAAGTAAAATTGCATATAACATTGTTTTGTAAATACTGTGTGCAGCAAGAGTTCAGAGAAGGGATAGATCATAGGGTGATTAAAATTAAGCAAGAAAATTGTGCAAATCATGGTCCTGTTCTAATTCAAAGCAGTAACAGATAAACCAGTTCATCCTAATAGGCTGTTTTGTTGGTAGGAAAATGATCTTCAGATAATTAAAAAAATCCTTTGAGTTTCTTCCTCTTACTTAATATTACAATCTCTCATGAAATATATTATTAGCACAGAGCAACCATTGTTCTTTGTAATAAATGGTGACATCTCTGGCATGTGGCTATTCATGTATGCCTGGCTAGTTGATCAATAGATCAGCCTTCTTTTCTGCACTTGAGAGAATGCACTGCTCTTCGGCATAGATCCGTAGATATGTTTGAGCAGGCTGCTGAAGTTTGAATGACCAGAGTTTGAATCCAAGCTCTGCCTCTTTCTAACTGTGTGACCTTGGCAAATGACTCAATTTATGCCTCGATTTATCTTGTCTGTAAGATGAGTCCAGTAGTCATATTTATCTCATTGGGTATTTTAACTATTAAAATGGGTTAACTCATATAAAGCACTTAGAACAGTGCTGAGCATGTAGCAAGCACCCTATTTCTTATTGCTGCTGCTATTTGGCTGAGCTTGAAGCCCAGCCCTCTCATGTGGGTTTTGTGATCTTGTACAAGTCACTTTTGGTCTCGAAACCACAGTTTGCTCATCTATAAGATGAGCAGAGCTATTGTGAGGACTGTAGGAAATTCTGTCAAAGCTTTCGGCGGACTGGAAAGTTCTGTACAAATGTGAGCTGTTGGTGCTGCCGCCACAAGATGTCTGTGCTCACAATTAGCCACTGGGTTCTTGGCCTTGTGCTGGCTTGATGTATTTGGTGTGTTGCCATGGTTTTGAGAATCTCATTGCTGTGTCCCACTGCACAGAGTCACAGCTTGCTGTGTCTTTCCATTGTTTCCCCTGCCTGTCTTTTGTGAGCAAACATCATATAAATGTACTCAAAGTCCCCTGTCAGAGATTAGTTCATTATTTATAATCTCCCCTCTCCCCTCCCATTAGAGCACAAGCTCCCTGAGGGCAGGGATCAGTCTGTTTTATTTGTGGCTGGACCTCAAGGGTCTGCAGAGGAGCCTAATACGTGAGAGGATCTAATATGTGAGAGGAATTCAGTACACGTTTGTGGCAGGAACAGATGCCCACCATCACCAGCTTCCATTTCCTCCAAACTGCAGAAGTGAAAGGAGACATCTCCGTAGGAACAAATCAGTATGCTGTAGGCATCCAGAAACGAACCAGTCAGTCCGTCAGTCAGCTAACACTCAGCACCGTGTATGTACAAGTCCCTCTGCCAGGTCCTCTAGGGGGAGGGCAGGTGTGGAGAGGAAGGTATGGCATCAGTTAACCCTAGTTTTTTTTTAAAGTAGAAGCTGCCCAACTTGTAATCTTCTTAATCTCATTATTACCCCACCCTAGTTTCACATCCTAAACCTGACCTGCTTGTCGCCTCCCAGAAGTGGACATTTATCTGGATCTGGAAGAACCATGAGGAACTGGTTTCCAAGGCGCCATCTGCTCACCATTTATTTGCTAAGGTTTTCCATTTTGGATTCAGACGTGAACCACAGAACCTTTTGCTTCACTCCAAGGGGCTCAGAAAAGACTTTATCATTTTTACAATATGAAAGAAGCTGGGAAGGGAGATTGTTGCTTGAATCTAAATGTGCACAAAACTGAATTAATTTATGGAATTCTGCATGTGGGTAGGCCTGGAACAGGAAAGCAAACTGTGGTTACCTGTGTGACTGACAAGCCATGATTTTCAGAAGAGGTATAAAGATTTAAGGGACTTTTATGTAGATATTTAGTATAATCCTCCTTTAAAAAACTACCAGAGTTCAGAGAAAAAAACATACCCCAAAATGTTTTCTTGGATATGTTTCTTAAAGTGACTGTGAAAACCCATGGAGGAAGAAAACTGGCCAGGGAATTTTTTTTTTTTTTGAGGGTATGAAAGCCTCTCATTTTTATAGTTTTGAAAATCCTTGGAGTTTAACTTTGAACTTTAACCAAGAAAAATTATATCTTATAAACAATGGCATTTGTTGATTGGATGAAGGACTAGATCAATATTGGTCTTGGCAACCCATTTTGGCCGTAGTTGCCTGCAGAAATATGCTAGTTGTGGTGTGAAAAAATTATGTCAGTTCCTCACCATGTGCCTCTTTTTCTTGGAGGCTTGCCTGAGAATTAGTTTCCAAAGATACTTCCAGAAGTTAACCTAGAGCCTGGCCTCAGCAGCAAAGGAAGTTACACATAAACTCTCGGAAAGCAGCTGCCACGGTGAGCCCCTGGGAGGGGCAGAGGAAGAAAATCTCGACCTTTGGAGAAAGCTGATAACCTGGAGCAGCTTCTAATTCTACGAGGATGGTCACACTCACTCTCACTGCCAAGATTTTCATTTAAGCTCATCACACCGAAGGGGAGAAAACACCAAACTAAACACAAATAAATCAGTGTTGGTAAGTGCAAATCCTTACTTTGAAAAAAAATAATCATACTGCAGCCGCAATGGAGCTGTCTACATTAGAATGTCTTAAATCTTTCCATTTTGGTGGGGTGGTGGGGATGTTTAAGGAAGGGAGTAGTAAAGCTTTTAGGGTTTTATTTTATACTATCATATTATTAATTTGTTTTGATTAAGACTCTATGCCACATGTTTACTTCTGCATATATTTATAAGAAAAAAGTGCATCCATCACATCTACTTTACTCAAGTCAGCAGATTGAGTTGGGTTGTTTATTCTTACTCTTTGCAACTTTGGTCTGGATTTTCACTTATAAGTATAATAACTTGAGCAATGCCCGACTGTGAAAGGGGGGCAATAAGAAAAGTTAAAAATGAATTCCACGTCATCACTCCTGTCTGACTCCAAGTCGCAGCCACTGATCCAGCCTTGTCTGCCCTATGTGATCTGTGCTGGGTCTCTCCCACTGACCGGAGGGTGAGGTGATGTCCTACACACTAAGAGCTGGCACTGAAAGGTGGCCCAGGGCCAGAGCTGCCCCCACATCCTCCTTCTTGAGAAAGATGAGTGTGCAACTGCCACTGCCTGGGCAGGATTGAGTCAAAAGCTGTCACTGCATCCCCTCTCTGGGGGCCTGATGGCTGACACCCCTCCCTGTGCTCCTGGTGTCCAATGGGCACCTTTGGTCCTCTTAAGCCCCTCCCCAAGGTAACTGCTACCAGAGACATCTCCTCCCAGCCATGTGGCCTCTGGCATCAAGGCTAGGACCTTGGCATGTCCCTTTGGAAAGGTGGCCAACTCTTGCACTAGCCAGATTCTCAAGTTCTCTGACCTGTGTCTCAAGTGAAATGAGTGCGGGGGTGGGAGTATTCTCAGCTCAACTCAGGGTGGACACGCCAGGGCACATACTAACAGAACTGAAGGCTGCTGCTACCATGTACAGTGACTGTCTACCATGCATTGTGTGAGCCCTTGGCACCTTTTATTTCATTGAATCCTGACAACCATTTTATGACAGCAGCACTATTTTTGAGATGAGAAAATCGAGGCCAGGCATCCCATAGCTACTAAACAGTGCTGGGCTTTCCTCCTGGCATGTGTTACTGCAGAGACTCTCACACCACATCTAACTTGGATGAACACCCAGGTCATCACCCCACTGTGTTACCTCTTGGCAAGGTCACATCTATGAGGGACCCGCCAGCTGCCCACAGCCATATAAACACACTGGGGTGACACACAGATGGCATGGCCATGCCTATCTGCTCCCAAGCCCAGGCTGGCAACCTTCCTCTGTGAGTTAGTTCCAGAACTCTTACAGCCTTACTGAGCAGAGCACACAGAGACCTTTCCTTAGGTGCTGACTTCAAAGGGTATCACGTTGTTGCTGGACAGGAGAACAAGCTGCTCAACTAGATGAGCCTTCCTTGAGTAGGTCTATTTCTCCCAAATTAAAAAAAAAATCACTATTAGGATTGGAAAGAGTCCTTGGAGGTCACAGACCCAACTTAGTGAATTTAAGGAGATGGAATGGGGGCCCAGAGAGGTTAAACAATAGTCTTGAGGTCTCACAGCAAGAGAGGTAGCTTCAGGACCAGAATTGCAAGCTCCTGACTGTCAGGCAATCAGTCTTCCTACTGTAACTCCTGATTTGATCCTATGCAGGTAGAATGAGGCAGAGGAACTAGGTTGAGAAGCCATTACTGAAAGGCCAGCCTCAGTGGTCCAGTCCCTGCTGCACGTCACCCCTTCATCCCAAACCACTCCTAAACGCGCGCGGTCATAGATGCTCAGGATGGAGAGGCACCGCTGGCGGGCAGTGACTTAGAAGAAAATAAATCAGGTGTGGTGAGTCCCGCAGGGTCCCCGCGGACACACAGCCCCCCGGCCTGATCAGGGCACAGTCCCTCGTATGCCCTGGCGGGACGCTTCCAAAAACCCAGCTTGCACAAACGCTCGGGGGCAGAAACCGTTCGGAGCACGCCGGGAGTGCTCCCCGCGGGCCGGGCCCGCTGCAGCGTGTCTGTGCGCGGCCTGGGGCGGGTGCCGGAAGCCCGCGGAGCCACTTCGCGCCGAGCCCGGGCAGTGGGCGCACGCCTCCCAGGCCCCGCGCCCGCAGGGTCAGCTGGCCCCGGCCCCGACCGCCGCCTTCTCCCGCGCTGAGGCCCTGGGCTGGCCGCGCGCAGGGCGGGCACGGATTCAGGATGTGATTCAAGGAGTACTGATTTGAGGACCCCCTCCTCCTCCCATGCTCGCCAGGCTCAAGTTACTTTACATCCAGAATGATGAAGATGCATTCATTAAGCATGGATTTCCAGCTCAGAGTTGTGCTTGGTTGTAGTTACCTTTGTGTTATTTAGAATTCACAGCATGTTAAGCATCTAGTGAATATTTGATGAGGGAATGAATTTATTCCTCACAGCAACTCTACAGTTATCCCAGACTGACAAGAGACAGGCACTCGGACAGCCCATCCCCAGTCAGGAGCACTCCTGATGTGAAATGTTATTCTACTTGCCTAATAGGGGGATTTAGTGAGAAAATACTGTCTGTCTCTCTTGTGTACCACTAGCTCAGTCTTCTTCCTCCCTCCCTCCTCCTTCCCCTCCCCTCCCTCCCCTCCCATCCTCTCCCTCCCTCCTTCCCTCCCTCCTTCCCCCTCCCCTCCCATCCTCTCCCTCCCTCCTTCCCTCCCTCCTTCCCCCTCCCCTCCCATCCTCTCCCTCCCTCCTTCCCTCCCTCCTTCCCTCCTCCCTCCCTTCTGCTGTAGAATTTTTGGGGAAGGAAAGAAAACATCTCTCCCTCTGTAGTTCACCCCCTCTTATGAAGGAGACCAACATTTTATAAAAATAATAGCAAACACATATTGTGCTAAGTGTGATTCTAAGCACGTAACGTGAGCTAATTTAATCCTTACAACAAGTCTACAAGGAAGGGACTCTTACTATCATTTCTATTTTGCAGATAAGGAAACTAAGACACAAAGAAGTTGAGAAACTTGTCCCAAGCCACACAACTGTTACATGCCCAGGTTTTGGACACAAGAAGTTGGCCTCCAAAGTCTGTTAATCACTATGCTATACTGCTTCTCAAGGTTCTCTTTCCCTCCAGGGGAGAAGCAAGCAGTGTGTGTGTGTGTGTTTGTAAGGCGGTGGTGGTGTACGGTCTGCATGACCCAGGGGGGCAGGGGTTGGATGGGCAGAGCACTGATGCCCTGTGAACCCCTAAGGCACAACACTCCATGATAATAGCTGTGTGGGAAGCTTTGAAGGTTGAGAATGAAGGGCAGTGAGTGTGAGAACCCTGGCAGAAATCAGAGAGGGAGAGGCTGCTGGCCCCCACCACCTTCAATGGGCTCTGCAGGCTATAGCAGGAGTGGTCAGTCATTTACTCACTCAACAGACTGAGCTGAGCCTTTAGTCTGAGCCAGATCCTGTTCAGGAATAGAGGATAGAACAGTGAACCAAAGAGATGAAAGTCCCTTCTCTTACTGATCTTATATTTTAGAGGAGGGAGACAGAAAATAGAGATAAATGCATTTATGGCAAATCATGCTAAGTGCCATGAAGAAGAATAAAGCTCATAAGGAGACAGAGAGAGATGGGTAGGAGATACTGTTATATATAGGATGGCCAAGGAAGGCTGCCCTGAGAAGGTTCCATGTGAATGCAGACATAAAAGAGTTGAGGGAATGAGCCATGTGGGTATCTGGGTAACAGTATTTCAGGCAGAGAGAACCTTACCATGTTAGTACTTGCAGAATATTGTTAAGTCTTTGCATTTTACTCTGACTGATGAGACATTATTGGTAAATTTTGAGCAAAGAAGTGGTATAGTCTGACTTTAGATTTAAAAGGATTATGCTGGTTGCTGTGTGAATAATAGATTTAAAAGATAAGGATGGAAGGTAGACTCTTTCTGGCAATAATCCAGGCAAAGATATACTGGTGATTTGAACTAGGGTGGTAGAGTGGAAGAGGTGAGAAATTAAATTTCTAAGAGGAGACAATCATAGTTTCTGATGGATTGAATGTGGAATTGAGAGAGAAAGAGGGCAGGCAAAGTCAAGAATGACTCCAAGGTTTTAGCCTCAGCAAACAGGGCAATGAAGTTGTCATTTGCTGAGATAGGCAAGAATGAGGATAGAGCTGAGTGATGGGGGAGAGGAGTGATCAGGTTTTGGACATGTATTTGAGATGTTTGTTGAATATCTATGTGGAGATGTTAGGTGGGCAGTCAGCTGTAGGGGTCGAGAATTGAAGGGAGAAGTTGAAACTGCAAAATTACTTTGGAAATTATCAGTGTAGATTGATGGTAATTACAGCTAGGAGGCCAGATAAGCATATCTAGACAAGGAGTGAAGATAAAGAAGAGGCCTAAAGATGGAGGCCTGGGGTACCCCAACTTTAGAGTTTGAGAAGATGGGGAGGAACCAGCAGAGTCAATGAGAAGGAGTGGTCACAGAGGGGAATAACAAACTATAGAAGGGTAAAGAAAAAGTTTTCTGGGAAGATGGAAAACCTGACCATGTTAAATGCTGCTGATAGTTGGGATAAGATGAAAACAGTACTATGGGATTTTACAACCAGGAGCTCATGGGTATCAATGAAATAATGGATGGAGGACCAAAGACCTTCCCCCATGTTTCTGATCTGTGTAAGCTCCACGTTTCTTGTGTAATACAGGGGACAAGAACAAACCATGGGTAATTTCTGGGATTTGACAACTCTTCATCCCTTTGAGTACAGACATGATACAGGTTTAATCTGGTTTAGAACATTAAAGATATTATGGCATTTATTTTTGTACTCCAGGTGTCTGAGAACAATCTCCACCTGCTGCATTGAGATTTACTTCAATGTACCTATTGTTTCCAGAGACTGTGAATTTTGGGTCATGCCTGTTGGAGGTGGAAAAAGAAGGCAGAGGTAAAGACAAGGGAAGGGTAGAAGTTTTTGCAGTGAAACCATGGGAATAAAAATGGAAAATGAAGT